ATACCGAACAGCATACGTACCGCCCTCTCTAACGACCCGTCCACGGAAGCAGCCCTAATAGTTTTCCTAAAAGATGCTGGACTGTTCGATAAAATATAATCAATCTATACAAAATGACTACACTTCGAACATGGACACCACTGGAGTAAGCCTGGATATCACATGACGATTACCTGACTGCCTTCGACAACGACCACCGCCATTCACACCATGATCCGCCAACCACGCTAAGAACCAAGACAGGAACTATAATGAACTCTGTTTAAAAATACTCTGTACTAAGGGGACTCCCTTCTGGAGCTCCACCAACCTCTAGGAGAACCCCTTCTGGGTTCTCCAAAATCTCAACTATCTAATTAGGGAAGCCCCCTTCTGGGGCTCCCGGAGATGAACCAGCCTGCGGCTGAAAATCTCCTAAATAGAGATAATAATAATAATAATAAGTTACTCGGTGCACGAAACAAAAATCAATTATTTTATTGTGTTTCTATTATTAATTTTTGCCAAAACATCAGCCTTATACATTCCATAAGACAAACCACATAGCTCCTATAAGAATGCATAAAAGGTTTGTGTGAACGCTTAGAGGTAACTCTTAAAGGCCGGCGCACAATGCATACGTTTTCGGGTTTTTTGACAGATAATGCAAGGGCTAACTGTCAAAAAACCAGAAAACGTATCCATTGTGCGCCGGCCTTAAGACTAGTAGGTCCCGAAGAACCGTGCTCAACTTTTTGGCTCAGCTCTGGTACTATCTTCTGTCCCAAGCTAATCGATGCACTAATCCACGAACCCCTCATTTTATCTTTCAAACTTTCAGAGAATCAAAACAAACATAGTGTAGTACTAGAATTCCGACTAGAATGGGATACGTTAATCGTTTGCTCGGAACCAATAGGCTAGTCAAGTAGTGAGCCAATTTAAAATCGATAGTTTCGTATTGATTGTTGGTAAAACCACTGCGTCCATTATTTGAACCCCTATTTGCTGTTTGTATCATTATTATTATTTAGCTTTATTTAGGAGGCTTTCAGCCTTAGGCTGGTTCGCCTCCAATTGTTTGTATCATGCAGACCGACCACTATTTAACGAGTGGACGGTTAATTGCCTGGACACATCTTTTCCCAGTGCGGTATAATATGGTTTATAAAACCAACTACCTTTCCAGGATTTGCAGACCAAATTTCACTAAGTTGTAAGCTAATACATCCTAGAAATTTAGATCTACGCTTGTGTAATGCACCACAACTGCAGAGCAGATGATCCGAGGTTTCACGTTCCAAATTACAGAAACGACAGTTATCACTCTGAACCCAACCAATGTTCTTCGTGTGATATCTACTAGGACAGTGCCCAGTTACCAGGCCCGTGTATATACTAAGAGCACTTTTATTGAGCTCTAAGAGCTTTTTGGTGTATGTTATATTAGGAGTTATAAATCTTTTCGATTTGTTGTAGTTTGTGACAGTCATCCAATTGGCCATCACCCTCTGCTCTTCCCAGAATTTGAGTTCCATTTTTACCTTACAGTATGATATTCCACAGTATGGTTCTGTGCCAAAAAATTGTGAATTGGAACCTAACTTTGCTAGGTCGTCTGCCCTTTCATTCCCTTCAATGCCACAGTGTCCTGATACCCAATATAAGTTTACTGAGTTCCGTTGGCACAGTTGCCGAAACGAAAGAATACATTCCGAGACGATCTTTGAAGTACATTTGTAAGCACTCAGTGCTTTCAGCGCTGCCTGACTATCAGAAAAAAATACAAATACTGCACATCTGTATTTCCTCCTCAGACAAACATGTACACATTCAAGTATGGCCGCAATTTCCGCTTGAAACACTGTTGGAAAATGTCCCATCGCAACTGAAATATTTGTCCCGGGGCCGAACGTTAGGAACACCAGTTTCCCAATCCGAACGTGCCGTTTCACATACGTTGAAGGGAATTTCATATTTGTCCTCTGGTTTCATCCAGTCTCCATTCATACTCATCACTGGTCTTCTTTGGAAGTATTGTAAGATGCTTAGATGACCAACAAGATCACGTGGCATGACTTTTGATGTAGGACTACGTCTGTGATTTCTATATGGAGGTACACTTTGTGAGAACCGAAAATGGAACATGTAACAAAATTATGAAAGATTTTGAACGTTAATAACTCAGCTGCCCCTGGATCAATTTCAATAATTTTTTCACCAATCGATCAGATATATTTCTACGCATCCGTTAAATTTAAGACTTTTTCATTTTTCAAAATGTCACTATTGAAAATTGCCTGAATGTGCAACTGCTGCTTTAATAATTAAAATTATCACCGATTGCCTTGCGCAAAGCGATTTCCCTAACGGTGTTTATTCAATCACCGCGTGGTGAGTGGTGGTGTTCTCCAGCACACAACGGTTGGCCTCAACCGCTGATCGGATTCAGTTCCAATTACCGTGTGTGGTGGTGTCCAGTCGTCGGCATCATCTGCAGCAGCAGCAGTGCTTTCGGCACGTGGCGTTGAACTTTGTTCTCCAACACACAACGAAAGGCTGCCTGCAAAGAGTGAGCTGCAGCCCACATAAGCATCCATAGAAGGAGGCAGAAGCTGCACCGCTATTGATCGGAATCAGTAGCTCTTCGTGAGTCGCTGTGGGCCATCTATGCCAAGCGCGTCACCCTCATTCCAAACAACATACAACTCACCAGCCTCATCTGTGTTTAAGACCCTAATAGCTCAGCATTACTCAACCATCACGATAAAGCGGTCCTTTTCAGGACCACCATAAATTTGCAAAAGAGTATTTTTTGGAAATTGGTCAAGGTCATCAATCGGATGTCAGTTTCCATATCAAGATAGAGCTGGAATTAGGACGTAACAGCTTTTGTAAACAATGACTTCTTTCGATGATGTCTTGAAAGTCAAGACTCGCCCACGCAAATCAACATCACCATCAGGTCGGGTAAGACTTCCTCTACCCGATGGTAATGTTAGATTGCGTGGGCGCGCCTTGATTTCCTAACAATCATCAAGAGAAGTCATTGTTTGCAAAAGCTGTTACGCCTAGTTCCAGCTCTATCCAGCTATGTTTAAATCTAACTTACCAGGTATTGCTGATTGCATCTGAAACTGGACTGTTCCAAAAATGCAAAAAGTGTGATAAAAGTGCACGTTTCCGTCAAATCGTTTTGATGTCTTCGGAGCATTTTATTGCTTGCATCATAAGAAATAAGTGCACCGAAGACACCAAGACGATTAGACGTAAACTTGCAGTTTTATCACACTTTTTAATAAGTGAAAACGGGCTTATTAGTCCAATTTGGTGTGAAACGCCCAATACTTTAAGGTAACATTGGGGGTGCGATTTCAAAAACCAAAGTCAGCCGCGGCATGAAAGTCTGAAGACACTGAAGAAGTCTGCACATTGTAGACGAAATACGCGTATCTGTCAAGGATAAGCAAATAAGGTAGTGGAATTAAATGGAAATTACTAATCCTTCTCTCTTTCATTATACAGGTATTCCACTAAGCACTTCTCATTGAAATGACATCAGAGACAAAGACAACTCAGTTGTACTTTAATTAAATAATAACCATTTTTTGTTTATTTTTTCTTAGTGAGATATTATTTTTCTTTACAGCTTTGTCTCAGACGTCATATCAATCAGAAATGCCGTTTCCGTGCTTAATTTTGTGAGAAATTGCAATGACACCATTTTGAAAGTTAAAAAACCAACGCTTTTTACAATTTCGACTCAATTTTGAGTTAGTTTCATTGCCCGTGCATATTTAAGAAGTTTTCCTTGCACGGCGAATGAGAACGACCCAAATTTGAGTTTAGTTCACTTATAATCGCCAAAAGTGCAGGAACTTAGCGATGAAAAAAATTGTCTCATTGGTGTAAATTTCTAGATAGAGCTGGAATTCGGGCGTAGCAGCTTTTGTAAACAATGACTTCTCTCGATGATTTCTAGAAAGCCAAGGCTCGCTCACTCAAATCAACGTCACTATCGGGTAGGAGATGTCTTCCTCTTCCCGTTGGTTTGCGTGGGCGTGCCTTGAGTTTCGAGAAATCATCGAGAGAACTCATTGATTACAAAAGCTGTTACGCCCTAATTCCAGCTCTATCAATATTTGTGTGCACGGCCGATGAGATCGATTTTTTTCCTTTTCTTCGCTTTTTCTTCAAAAATTTGCTCGAATATGAGGAAAATTAACCACTTCATTCGAGCAGATAAAATGACATTTACTACCACTCGAACTTTGAAATGAAACATTATTTTGAGATTTTTTCTTCTAGAACCTCGAGAAAAGTAGCCAACATTTGTGCGTTTCATAAAAAATAGAAATTAGTTGGTCCAGTTTTGTGAAATCGCTGGTAGAAAGTCACGCCAAAACTGCTTGACAAAGTGGTCAATTGACAAAAATTGTTCTCAGTCTAGGAGTATACTAATAGGCAGAGTGAAAGCTCTCTATATTTTCTTCATATTCGAATAGTTTTTCCAGAAAAATAGAACGAACAATACTCCAAATTTGGGTTGATGTAATCGGCCGTTTGGAAAATTTAGGCAAATTGGCCTCATTCACTGAGTAGCCCCACTTTTTGCAATTTGAGTCAAATTCGACTCAATTTTAAGCTATTCCCATTGACCGTGTAACGCTGTCAGTAGCGACCTATGTATTGGTAGTAGGTGGTGGGAAAATGGGAAAACCCTTCGGGAAAACATCAAAAATCGCCACCCACTCGCAGTAGGTTGTGGATATGGTGTAGGGTGTATGAGTGTTAGTGCAACTGACAGATTCAACAGAAAACAGAGATGTTCTCCAAAGTGTCCTATAGGGCGCTCAGCTGTCCGGTTCACTCGCTTGTTTGTGTTTGTGCCGCGCAAGGCTATTCGCGTCAGCACTTTTCTGTCACCCGTGTCGCCGCCGGCAAGTACTTACCTATTATCCCCCGCGCTCTTCAGTTGTCCGCAGTTTATTCTTTTGCATCCTATGCTAATGTCAGTCTCCAGCTGCAAATCGACCCGTTCATTTGGGAATCCCACTTCTATGTGGGTGTACTGGACGCGGTAGCCTACATTTCGATTATTTGTTGTGGCCATCCTTTCAGGGCTTGAGCTGCTAGTTTCAGTCAGTCGTCCAGTTCAGTCCAGGGGCGGCAATGATGAGTTCTTGGTTGCATCATTAGTCGCGTAGGTTGCTTCGTTCGTCATCGTAAAATAGAAGGAAATTTTGTTCTCACATATGCTAAAGCTGCTGTGATCTAGAATCGATTAGTGAGCCATGTGCATTAACAAATATGATGAAATTCGGGATGTCGATCCGGTACCGGTTTTGAGTTTGGTCGGGATGTGACAAAGCGTGGGAAGTTGTAAATTCGTGCGTTTAGAGTAGAAAGTTTCCCTTCAATCAATATTTCCCGGAATCATTAAATTTTGATTGTGAGATTTGAGGTGGCTCAACTGCTAGAGGGAAAGGTGGCTTTTCGGAACACAAAGAGTTGAGTGAAAAAATGCTATTGAAAACCAGTTGGAAAATCGATCGCATTCCAAGGACACCAAGTTCAGTGTGGTTCCATACTGCAGCTGGTGGCGGAGAGGAGGAGATTGTTCCGGGTGTTGGTCTGCTGGAGGAAAGTGCTGACACGTGCGCAAGTAACCCACACCTCGGGACCAGCACCACCATCAGCAGTAGCATCATTGCCACCACGATCACTAGCAACAGCTACAGTAGCGCTTAGTGCGGTAAGTGTGTTTAAATAATAATGGCTACGATTCCGCGATACGGCTTCCTTATTCCTCTCTAGTCGAGTGGCATACATTCAGGGTTTTGCTGTGGGCAAAGGAAAAAAATGCTTTCGTGAATTGAACGGCGGTAGTGGCTCGTGGTGCCACGCAAGAATGTGTGGCTGCGGATGATCCGTGCGGTAATTCAAACTATTCGGGCTATGTTTTTGTATTTATCGTTCACCTGATTCGTTGGTCGGGTGGTGGTGTAGTGGAAGCAATTCTTCAGGCACATTTCCTCTCTATTTGATACTGGCGGCTGCCGCCCGGGTTTTATCGATTAACACAATTTAAGCATAGTGCGTTGGTGAAGTCCGGTTTTGCCAGTTGTGCCGTTTGGTATGAAACCTTTTCTAAGCTGAAAAAAAAAAATGTATTGTTTTTATTTTTATTTTACTTAACACAAAACGGATCAGAGACGACCGCGAGTAATCGGTTCAATTCCTTTAACTCTAGATTTAAGACATTAATCATGTATAATGCAAATGATAACTCGGCTCTGTAAAGTTTATTCGATTGAGCCTGTACAAATAAATTAATATAAAAAAAAAACAAAACGGATCAGAATTTATTTTTCTAAGCGGTAATTCGCGGTAGTCAAAATGAGCAACTTAATAGTATTATATTGCTCAGCAGATTTTAAAATGGCATGTGCTGTCCATAAAATAATAACTGTTCTATTTGAATATATAAAACAAACAGAGGTGAGACAATGGTTTTATGATTAGTATACCATCACTTGATCTTGGTAATAAACCACTACATTCGAACAGTTAAAATTACGTTTACTCACCGACAAACCGACATGACACCTAATTCTAACTTATGCCCGAAAATCGTAAACGGCCGATTTAAATGTGCAGTGATCCGAACTGTCAAAACCATAGGAGTTTTTGATCTAGATAAAAATAATTTGTCCAGAATAGATCAGACACGAACCAATTCATAACTTTTGTATGCGAGTTCATGGCTAAGCTAAATATTTCCCGCGAACACGGACCCAGATGTCAGTAGTGTGCTTTGGTCAGAAATTTTATTGTTTTTGCTATGGTCATTCATGTCGGTCTGTCGGTGGTTTACTTACCACTCAAGCTTCGAAATAAAACAATATTTTCAGATTTTTTCTTATGGAACCACAAGAAAAATAACCAAAATGTGTGTGTTTCATAAAAGAATAGTAATTTGTTGGTCCAGTTTTGTGAAATCGCTGGTAGAAAGTCATGCCAAAAATGCTTGACGAAGTGGACCATTGAGCACCCTTCCATTCCAAGAAAGAAACCCACTCTATCATTTTCTCGAAGACACGTTTTTCGCCCAACAAGAGCGTCTTTGTATCGGAACGGAATAGGTTACTAATTTATTCTAAAAGCAGGGTGACCAGCGAACCTGGTAAATCGAAAATATGAAAAGTAACCGGAAAAACCGAGAAAAACCCGGGAATTTTATGGGATCAAAAAATCCTATGGTTTTGATAGTTCGGATCACTGCACATTTAAATCAGCCGTTTACGATTTTCGGGCATAAGTCAGAATTAAGTGTCATGTCGGTTTGTCGGTGATTTCAGTACCAATAGATAACATGGAATCCTACAGATATATTTGCTTGAACTAAGTCCTAAACATATAAAAAGATTTTATGGATAGATTAAGCTGTTTACAAGATATAAGAATAATGTTGATACATTCCCAAGTAACCAGTAAGCACTTATAGAGTTTTGAGACCGCACGCTACCTTTTTAAGTAGTTGTGATATCGCTATACCTTTTTGGTTCTTCTTCTTATTCATTGTTATATATGGATGTTGGATTTTAGTGTTCGTGAGATTGCGCTTGAGCGCTCTATACGTTGCACTGTATTTCTCACTGTAAAACATCGTCGCTAAAACATTACTGTCATCTGTTGAGTACACTGTGGTAAGCAGTTCGCTGAACAGATGGCGGTAGTGTGTAAACGTCAAACGCAAGGGAATTGACTATGAGCGCCACAGGTGGCAGTACTACCAACTATAGTACTTTTAAATTGACCGTTAAATGTGTGTTCGATGAACAGCTTGCGAGTGATATGTCTGTTTGTCTGTGGTATCAGCATTACATGCGCATTTAATTTCTTACATTTACAGAAGATCAATCTTATAAAATTCAATAATGCTGTTATAAACCCGAAAAAGACAAAATAATCGGCCAGTGTTAAGCTTGTGTTAAAACCACCGACAAACCGACATGAAACTTAAACATAACTCTTGATCGAGAATCCATAACGACCGATTCAAATGTACAGGGATCACATCTGTCAAAGCCATAGAAATGTTTTACCTAGATAAAAATAATTTGTCCGAAATAGATTAGACACGAACCAACTCAAAAATTTTGTACGCGTGTTCGTGGCTAGGATACATATTTTCCGTGAACACGGCAACAGATGTCAGTTTTGTGCTTTGATCAGAAATTTCTTCGTAATTTGTATGATCATTCAAGTCGGTTTGTAGGTGTTAAAACTTCAAAAGATTGCTGATATTATGCTAGGGGAGAAATGTCCAAAGGAGCAGAAATAATTGCATGCTCTGCTTTATTGACATAGAATGAAGCAAAGGAAAACAAAAATATTGGTTGCTATCTTTTTTACTCGTACCCATGTTGTTTGCTTGATCAAGATTCAATGATTACCATAACGCCTTAGCTGACTAACCCATATGAGACCACTGACTACGAACCAGCTAATTGAGCACAACTCGCTCTCTTTTCTGAACGAGTTTAAACAAAAAATGGAATATTTCTGTCAAAGATGACTTCTAAATGTATTCACCTTTCCATGCGTACGTTGGATTTGATAAAGAGTCACAAATTATTGAGATATTGCTTAAAATCTAATACTGCTTCTTGATTCTAAATTCGTTCTACGAGTTTCAATTCCGTCCTAACGCATTGAAACGCCATTAGATTGTCTTCGTCCTACGGATAAACGTAGAAAAAGAGGATTCGCTATGAGCGCTTCTTTTGTTTTGAGAACAATGAGCGTAAATATTCATACAATGCGCTCAAACAGGATTTATGTTGTAGCTAATGAACTAACGCATCGGAACAAACATATTATTGATTTGTGCACAGTGAAATCATTGATATTATTGATATTTTCTGATCGATAGAACGAAAATGGGTGATTACGACGAACTAGCGCTCTTCCCTAGCTACGATTAAGATAAACCATGTTGATCTCGCCAAATTCATCCTTCGAGAAACTCCAACACTCCGACAGTGGCTGTCGTAACCAAAATCTAAATGCCAGCCATGATGTCTACAAAACCTTAGATGTCACAATCTTTATACTTTTGTCCACCCAGTCACTATGGATTTCTCTTATTTTTTCTATTCGGGACGGCTCTCTTGCGGACAAAGTGTAGATCGCTTCCTAGTGTTCTCCTTGCAGTGATGAAGATTGTCTGCAGTCACCATTTTTTCTCTGTTTTGTTTTCATAAAAAAAAAAATCACTCGACTTGAAATGGCAGATCGCGGCATCAACTCGGCATTATAGAAATATAATGCTCTGACGCAACTGGCATACTGTCAAATTGCTTGTTAATCGGATCATTGCTGATCTGTGGTTTTTGGGTATTACGCATCCTATGATGTGCTATGAGGGGCTCGGTGGCCTTAGAGCGACCACATTTGCTTACTGAGTAGAACATTATGAGTTTAATCTCAGGCCCCTCCACATTCAAGACTAGTTAATCCCAGATGCTCGTTTGCCTAGTGTCAGACGTTTTGGCTTGCTGTGCAGAAGACCATGGGTTCAATCCCAAGCTCCTTCCCATTATAGGATCGTTAGGACATCAATTCAGCTTACCGTTTACCAAAACGAACCCTGCTGCAAACCCAACCATCTTATCTAACATCCCAGTGATTTCTCGTGGAAGTCAGAGGACTCCTCGGGTTCAATCAAAGCGAGTGTCACGTCAACACGTTCCAACCCATTTCTTTCTTGACCTGCGTTCGGGCGCGGCCGGCGCTGGTATTGCCTAGTTTAAGATCACCAGTTTTTACAAATTGAGGATGAATGCTAGTCCCAAGCATCGTCTACTGGTTCTCTGTGTAATTACAGCTGATCTGGCAATAACAGAGTAGCAACTGCGGGTCTTCAATCATGCATCATGCTCAAGCATAGTAATCACATATCAGCCCCATCCTGAAATGCTATCGTCCAGGGGTCAAGTTACAGTTCTGTTTTTTTATTTGCCATGTTTTTCGTTGATACCTATAACAAAAAATGCAAGCTTCATTTCATCTTCTTCTTCTTCTCCGCGTTTCAAGCTTATTGCATATCGCATATTAGCTTATTGCGTGCTCTCAACTTAGTGTTCTAGATGCACTTCCACAGTTATTAATTGAGAGCTTTTGATGCCTGTACCATTTTTGCATTGGTATAATTGTGTGGCAAGTCCAATCATACTTCTATGCCCAGGGAAGTCGAGAAATTTTCCAACCCGAAAAATTCCTAGACCGGATCGGGAATTGAACCCAGCCACCTCCAGCATGGTCTTGCTTTGTAGCTGTGCCTTTACCGACTGAGCTAAGGGAGGCCCCAAGCTTCATTTCAACTGATTTTAAATTGATAATTGTTTCAATTCATTTACTATGATTTTTCAATTATTTACATGGGAATTGCACTTCTTAACTTCGACTGCCATTTTCTCAATGCCTACTTTTTCCATATGGGCATATGCGTTTATAGGCAGTTTATTAGTGTTCTGTTATTCACCATAGCGAAGCTTGTCTACATTACATACTAATAATTACCACAGAATTATCCCTAAACTTACCAGAACATTCTATTGGAACCCTACTCGAAATTATCTTGGAATTCTAATTGGAGTTTTCTTGAAACTTTCCTAAGCTTTTCCTTTGAATTATCATTAAAATTCCTTTGCAACTTTTGCTCTCCACAGAAATCCCTGGATTTTATCT